GAAGGAGGGCGATGGACGTGAGACGGTCGTGGAGGGCGCTGATTCCAGCGATGATGAAGACGACGGCGGTAAGTTTGATTTGCACTAGACCCAAATCTTTTGTCATTTCCTTGTTGATGACGATGTCCATGTTGATATTTGCTTGGAATTGCTGATGTGCTGTTTCCGCGTTCACGACTACGAGCAAATATGATAGGTTCATGTTGAGTTTCGGCCGTGTACTTCTTGTGGTGTTTCACGGTGCCCCGTTCGCAGGCACGTCTCAAACCCAGACCGATGAGCTAGCTCTTCTCGACGACGACGACAGCATGGACCCACAAGACCCGGAGGACAAGACACAAGGAATGGAGAAGCCTGTCGCATTCAAGAAGTTAAACCCGTTGCTCTTGACAGATTGCTTTTGCGACGTGGAGTGCTCGTCAGGCTGGGGATGGGGTGGTTTTGAGGGTTGATCATTGAGCATTCTCAGCAGGACACTCGCCACCTGTACGACTACTGTGTGCAGCTGGAGCTAGACCAAAGTACGCGCAAGATGAAGCTGCCCATAGACAAGTACACCGGAGATCCGGATGCGGCGGTAGGCTCCTGGGTTTTGCTTGAGAGCGTTAGTAGATCGGGGAGGGTACGCAGGACCAACGTCACCCTTGTGGACCAAGATGGTTGACAGTTGCTGCTGCATGCCTTGGTGTGTTCTTGTACCAAACAACAGCATTGTTCCTCATGCTAAACACTATAAACACTCCGCCGAGTGCAGTTGACAGCGGCCAACAAAATACGTCGTCATACAACGTACGGGGCCAATTGGTGTTGAAATAAGAACAAGAACATTTCGCTGGAGAAAAATGGGACGGCGAAATAAGAACATGGCCAAGAACACTTGCTCGGGTTGGGGCAGCCAAAAAGAACTGAGCCTCGCTCAAAATAGGAGGTTCTTAAGTGCGGGCCTCGACTGTAATGTTTCCTGACGATGACTCCACCCCTCGTCTATAAACGTCTTAATCCCTTTGGGTCTAGGCTGGACTGTCAGATTTTTATTTTGCGCCATAAAAAAGTATATGAGAGCGAGAACGAGCGGGAGAGAGACAAGTGCAGAGAAAGACACCAGTGTACTTTTGCATACGCAACAGCTATCTCCACCTGTAGGCCATGAGGGAAGGCGGCGACAGGGTGGTGGCTACAGACAGGGTCGTACGAGGGTTGATGGGTGGTCGCGCTGCGGTCAGTAGGGCAGGTTGCTGTGTAGACTTTGAAATGATCAGTCGTGTAGCTGCCTCAACTAGTCTTTTTCGGAATTTTGTATATGATCAGTCCAGAGAGGGTGAAATGATCGGTGAAGACCCACAGTTGGTATTTGTACTATTCTGTACTTCTCTTTTCTCTGTCCCCCCCCGAAATGTGCCCTGCCAGCTCTCTAGAGCTCCTGTGTTTTTCAAACAACAAGCACACCCACCAGCACACACCTGTACTTCGGGCTAGGGTATGTGTGGCGCTACGAGCGTGGATGTGTTGCTGATTTGTTTTACTTGTCTACAGTAGCAGTAGAAGTGTTGTTGAGCGTTGTAGCTGCTGACACTATTACTGCTGAATCTTGGGAACGATTTTCAAATTGTTGGGAGATGCAGCATACCACACGATATCCTCGATATCTAGGCTTCCGTAAGGCTTGCAATACCCCTCCCTTTTGCTGCCCTCTGCTGTTTGCAGCAGCGGCTTTCTGCGGTCGGGCGAGGATGGGTATGTGTGGTGCTACGAAAGAACACACATGTATGTAGTTTGGTATGCACACACACGTACATGTACAGACGTTGAGCGATTCATGATTTGGCATTGATTGACCCCATTCCCGAGACCTTGATTTTACCCGCTGTTACTGACGTCTCTTCATTGGTCGGCCGGTTAGCACCGGTGTTAATAATCTAGACACACCTTACCTATGGACTTGCAAAATACCCGGCGCGAAGGGCGGCAGGGGGGCAAATACACGACTTGCCACTACACCAGCATTTGCGAATGATCAGTCAATGATCAGTCAGAACGCCTGAAGACTCCAAAGGGTTGACTAATCCTAATCCTCATGTTGTACATACCATGCTACTCGTATTGTCTACGGCAAAGTAGCGCCACACCTTGTTAGTACAATATTTTGCGCAAGGCTTCTGGCTTCTGGCCGCGCCAATACCGAGAGGTTCGAAGTACTTCTATTGCAAGTTCTTACGTCAGCCAGGTACCAGGAATACGCTACTTCTGCAACGATTCCCCGTGTTGGATAACCTTCATGCCTTCTGATGTAGATGGTGTTCCATTGACACTGCTGCAGACAAAGGATTTGCCCCAATTTTGAAAACATGTTGGATGCCGCTTGGTTCCGGCGCAGATTTCGGCTTGTTTTCCGAGGCTGCTGCGACCTTCGATGTTTCAGCTCCAGTAGCAAACCTGAACGTGCGAGCACGCACGACGCCTCTTCATGGTGCCCCCTACTGATGACGGTAGAAACCCAAAGCGAACCCTAACCCGAAGGTTGATCCCTGTTTTATGTTGGATTAATGTATGAGAAAAGAGCCAGTGTCAAAATCATCTTGTCTGGACCAACTCAAGTGTTTTCCGTTGATAATGTTGTTGTCACTGCTGTCTACCCCGCTTCCGTAGTCCTATTACTTGTAGGACCCTGGCGGACGGCGGGACAGACAGCGTGGTTCAAACATATGGGCTTTCGCGGTAATCCTCGTGTAGAACTAAATGAACACCATTGAATTACTGTATGGAGTAAGCTTCAACCTCCTTGGTCCACATGGCGTATGCTCTGTTATTCCTCACGCTGCGCACGGTGGTGGATCATACCTCCGTGTTTTGGAAACCGTCCGTATCCAGGCCCCAGCAGTGTTGCATGCTGAGAACGTATATTCTCTTCGTATTCTTATTAGTTGAAAAATTGAGCCCTGCCTGGAGTTCTGAACTACCAAGGCTTGCGGTTTGTAGAGCTATCTGCACAGCAGGAATTTGCACCCTAGTCGATTCAGGCAATCGACGCATATTTGATGTTTCCAACCATTCGAAAGAGCACTCGCAAGACCGCGGCGACACCCTGGATAGGTTGGGATGTTTTTGCGACTTTACGAATAAACACCCCCCTCTCCCGACAATGATGGCCTGCTCGTTTTGCTTCGCAGGTGAAGGAGGTGCTGTTCCACGAGCGATCCGACTTTCAAGACGTGCTGGTGTTTGATTCAGTGCACTATGGTAAAGTGCTCGTCCTGGATGGGGTGATCCAGCTCACTGAACGAGATGAGTGCTCGTATCAAGAGATGCTCACCCATATTCCGTGCTTCGCGCAAGGCGACCCCAAGAAGGTGTGAAAATCGCTTATTGAGCAATTTTTAGCTTCAGTGTTCCTTCCTATACGCTACACTTCGTCGTCAAGGGCGACACAAGGCTCTGGAACTCGTCACTGTCTCGATGGACCCACGGGGTCAGGACTAGGGGTTTTCCTCCTATTGAAATGTAATAGAATCGAGCAACAGGAGAAACTGAGGCATTGTCTATTTGACACATACAATCCTAGGACCCCAACACCAAACCCCAGATTGTGGTGACCCTGCGGTTGCCCTCAATTAATCTCTACTCGCTCATTACAGCTACAGATCTGCGCGCGGTCCCAATCACATGTTTTTGGTTGGTACCATTGAGCGGCGCACTTGTCGGAATCGATCCATCATAACGAGAGGCCTCCGCCACTCTCCAAACATGACAGGGATAAGATGATTTGAAATGCTTGCAAAGGTTTGTTTCTGCTGGTCTCCACCGTGGGTGATTGCAACGCTTGATCTTCGAGGCTTTGGTTGACCGCCGCTGTGCAGCTAGCTGGCTGCGTCACAGCTTCCCTCCTTGACGCTTCTCTCGCCCACCCTCACCCCTGCCATATTTGAACACAACGGATCTTATCATCCAGGAGTTTCCTAGTTGATGCAAGAAAAGTAATCTCTGCTTGCTTGATTTCTCACGAAATACAACACGTATCCTGCCAATCCATCATTCTATGCATTTCACCGCCAGGTGCTTATCGTAGGAGGCGGGGACGGCGGTGTACTTCGGGAGGTAGCCCGCCACCCCGGAGTGGAAACAATTCACATGTGCGAGATCGACTCCGTGGTGTGCGAAGTGAGAACTGATGGGTCCACGTGTTTTCGTCAATGACCCGTGCTGAAACATCCGTGGATGAAATACTGATATATCGCGCAGTCCGCCCGCGAGCGGGGTATCCCAATGGAGTAGGCACTTGGGACATGAGGGATTGAGTCTGTGTTACGGCACTGTGAATTGGGCCTGGCAAAGTTAGTGGCACCGTCCTTAACCGCGAGTAGTTGTGATGACGACCTTAACCCTTAGCAGCAGTGTTGTCCTTGCTGTTGCTGTGCCAAACCTGGACCCGCTGTGACGTTTCGGTCTATATGAAGGTGTCCAGGCGTTTCGAATTTTGCACGGCATCTGCCTTCGGCGATGCGCGCCTCAAGCTTGTGCACGAAGATGCCGCAGAATTTGTCAAGAAAGAGGTGAGGTTCGATGCACGGGTTGAACATCGAAAATGGGAGATCAGATTTTATTGATAGCGACGCCAACGAATTCCCGTACGTCCGTCCTCTTCCGGGAGGGTCACCTTCAGATCTTTAAGTGTAGAATGGTCTTGCAGTTTCAACACTGTATTCCAGCATGGCGTCGCCACCAACCTTCGGCCGGCTGACGTCTCGGGCCGGTGTAGTTTCCCATGCCTCTTCAGTGTAGTGTTCATTGTTGGGTACACCACGTGTGCAATACTCGAAAACCCTTGCTCGACTTCCGCTTGTGCCTGCTTTCTACAGGGTAACAGTGGGTATGACGTCATCATCGTGGATTCATCCGACCCCGTCGGTCCTGCGGAAACCCTCTTCCAACCGAGTTTTTACCAAGTGAGAATTGCTCGTGAGACGAGACTAGCGATTAAATGTTTCGTGTAAGCAAGACTCTGGAAAACATGGCGTACGTGTACTAAGAGAAAATGACAGTGTACGCGAAGCACGAAACAGTGAGCGCCCGTTCTCCTCCTGCTTGTAACCTGGCATTGAATGCTTGCTATGTACATGACGGCCCTTCTCGTCATGCATAGCCCGCGACTCTTATCTGAACAGCAAAGTGCAGGAAACCTGTTGAACACGGCACAATCTTTGTTCGTTGACGGCATCAAAACGGGGCTCTGCCGCGTGGCTGATAACACCGCGACTTCCATTGCCAGTGATAACTTGCTCAATGGTCCCGCTTGGCAGTTTTCTATCCTCGTTTGTAGTGGCACACGCTTGAAATACAAGGTAGGGTGTCACGTTTGATCGCCCGTGCTCGTGTTGTGTGTTGACAAGCTGTTCGCGTTTGACTACCCCTACCGCAATCTAGAACATGAAGCAGGCTCTGGCGCCTATGGGGGTCATCGCAACGCAAGGGGAGTGCCTGTGGCTGCACCTGCCGCTGATCACCACCGTCTTGCGTGCATGTGCTGAGATATTTGGCTCTGTGGACTATGCCTTCACAACGGTGCCCTCGTACCCATCTGGACAGATCGGATTCGTTCTCGCAAGTGTGGAAGAGCGAGGTGAGGGGTAGATATGTTGCAAGAATCTTTCTCGTACTAGAGCCCCACACCTGGATTCGCATGCGTAGGTGCAATACCGAGCCCGCACGCGGTGGACAACACAAAAATAACAAAACCAATCTTTGTCTCTCGCAGATTTATCGACGCCGGCATCTACTCCCAATGCTGCGATGACGGAAGTGCTGAGATACTACAGCCCGGAGGTTCACCGGGCCGCCTTCGTTCTTCCCGTCTTCGCAGAAAAAGAAATAGCAGGCGTCAGACGGCGTTCTTCTAAAGAATAAGAAACGCAATCGTGGCTCGCTTACCACGAGTACAGGATGCGCGGTATTAACCCCCAAATCCCGTTCCAGTTTTGGGAACGTGGACATTGCTGTGTGTGTGCGTTTGTGAAAATAAAAGGCCCAGGCCCCAACTTGAGAGTTTTCAGCCATTGGGAACAAGCGCTATTTTTCCGCGTACTGAGGTATCTCTTCTCCTTGATGTTTTCCTCTGGCTCGATTGAAATGGCGCACTCTTGGATAAATTTCAGGGTATTTCACGGAGCGTTTTTCTCCACGGAGCGGAGCAGCTAAAACCGCTCCACTCACTCCGCTCCGTGATACTTTCCCTGGAGAAAAACCGCTCGTATCATGATAAAAAAAAACGCTCCGCTCCTCGAAATTTGCTCTCGGATAAACCGCCTCGCTCCGTGGAACTCCCCAAAAATACGTACAAGCGGTTTTTTCACCGAGCGGTTTGAGCTACACCCTCACACGAGCACGGATAAAACCGCAATGAAGTCACGGATAAAACCGCAGTACAGAGGTCACAGTTTTCCCACGGAGTCGCGGTATATCTCTCTAATGTGATATTTTCACAGTAGGAGGTATTAGGTATTAGTACTGACAAGTTTCAACGGGAGGCAAGTAAAGGAATCATCTGCTGTTGTACGTGTTGCAGGAACTTAGGAGTCGAGGAAGTATCGATGCGGGGAACGGTCCCTTTCAGAATATTTGATTAATTGGTGTTTTGGTCTGTTTGGGCTGTACTAGCAGCGATGACGCAAACGGTGTCACCGGCGGCCTCCAACCTCAGCACACCGTGCGGAAAATCGGTTCTAGGTACCAAACCCGAAGTTTTCACGAAATTGCAAATACTATATCGATTTTGTACGGATATCCGTTCGGTTTCGAAGTTTTTTTCGCGGTGTATGCTACGGAGTAAACAAAATCGCTCCGTAAAAATACACGCACTACGGATTAACCGCTACGCTCAGTGGCATGAGAAAAAGAAACGCTCCACTCCGTCGGGCTTTTGCCCTCGGATGAACCGCGGAGCGGTTCCACTCCGTGAGTTACCCTTATAAATTTCGCGTTTCAAACTGGCGGCGTCTGTTCGCGGATTGTTCGTAGGAACCCCTCGGGCACTTTCACGCCTTGGGGCTTTCGCTTCGTCAATGCCAGTCCGCAACCTCTCACGGAGGGTTGGCGCTGACGACAGCATGTTAATCCTTCTCATGCTTGAAGGGCTGGAGGAGTTCGAACATGAGACTCACAATTGGCTTCCGACAAAACATATGTTCTAGACTAAATCGCATCCAAAGACCGACGATGTGTCACACAGGCGCAAAAAGCATCGACCGCTGATCCGTGATTGCCACGTTCCGTCTTGCAAGGGTGCTCGTACGGCCCTGCATACTCTTACTCTTCCTCCTCCTCGTCGTCCATCGACAAAACTTCATTCGTCGTCGGGGAAAGCAGTTGGCATTTCCCGCCCTTGGCCTCTATCGCCTCAACTGCGCTCTTCGTGAACCCGTGGGCCTGACGCACGGAATAGAAGGAGAAACGGATAAAACGTGTCCCGATGGAATGGTCAACTCCCCACGCGCGATACGTCACGGAACTATCGCAATACTGGAGGGGGCGCTCGCCTGTGGCAGCTCCGATCGAATTTCAACGTACATGCATGCCTTGAATGTTACGGGAGCAAATCTACGGGAACAAAACCATTGGCACAGTTTTTTCCTCGTACCTGTACCGTCAGCCCTGTTGTTTCCAGCTCCATTCCACCGACAACCTTGTGCCACCTGTGCTTGGTCTTGGTGACTTTACCTGATCATATTTTTCGGGCAGTGTACAGCGCATCCTGTGACCACATTATCCCATGTTATAGTTGAACCACGAAGTGCCTCCCGTAAAACGTCCTTCCCACATGTACCAAAAAAATATCTACAATGCAGTGGGTATGGTTGGTTCAGTGGACGCTACGACTGTTATCACCGAGAAGGAAGAAACTTGATCTCCACCAAACAAGGTGACAATGGTTACCAGTAATTTAGAAGCGTGAGGGTGGTATGTCACGCTTTGCACAAGTGCTAAATAAAATACATCTATTGCAGGCGCAGCAACTACCGGAAACGAAAAGGGAAATAACTGAGCGAGAGAATAATGGAACAGTCACACGTTGAAGCAGTTTCGCCCGTGCGGGATCTTATGGCCCTCCACACCTGACGTTATGGTGGCGCTTGAGATACAGATATCTTCTCGTTCTCTCTATTGGCAAACTTTGACAACTGTATGCACGATCTCTACAGACCCTGGCAGCCACGGGCTTAACTGGCCTAGGAGCTACCTATGTGGTGATGTGATTGCGGCGAACACATATCATACAGAGCCAGCTGCGTGCGTGGGACCCTGCAGCCTGCAGCTCACCTGCATCCCCAGTTCTACTGTAAAAACAAAAAGTATCACGGACGTGTGTTGTTAGGAAAGGGAAACAAGAGCAAGAGTCGCGACTTCCGCTCATAAAAGGCAAGCACACCCACCACACATGGCACCCGATGTCTGCGTTGGGATGTAGAGTAGGCTAGCACTGTAACTACGGCGGTGGTCGAAGAAGCGCATGTCATGGTGTGTCTTGATCTCAGCAGATGTACTCGGAAGCTCTCTACCCTGTCCGCCCTATCCTCGCCGCCGAAGGCACCCCGCAGGCCGAAGCAGAGACGCGGTTTCTCAAAATCCGACGGAGACTTGGGCACGGCACTTGCAACACGGTTGAGAGGTACACCGGGGCGCAGTAATTGCAACATGACTCACCGGCCGCACGAAGCGATTCGAAGTTAACGGTGGCACCTTCATCCAGTCCATTGAGGGCGTCCAGCTTAATGAGGTTGAATTGCTTTTGGAGGGGGAGGGTGGGGGGCGGTGGGGTGGGCTGGGTGGGCGACAACGAGAGAGTCCAAACCGCACCTCTACAAGCAGGCATACAGACAGGGCAGTTGGCGTCATTCTACAATGCTCCTCGCGAACAGGAACAGGAACACGTGGGTCGAAGACAGATGGCGACCTTGGAGTTTCAGGTGGAGGTCGTCTCATCAAGTACAATTACGTCCATTTTTCATTGGTCAATTCGTGCTTGACTTCCATGCCACCCCATAACGATAAATGAAACATGTTCATGAGTTTTTCGTATTCCTATGGAGCCAAACAGCACAACAACGTGGTCTTCCTTCCACACTTTCGAGTGACGGGGATGCGCGGAATGCAGGAGTCATGCATACTTCCAACCTGACTCTGACCGCGAAACACAACTTAAGACAATCGTTGTAGGAAACTCGGTCGCAATCAATTGTTCTCAGTGTGGCATTTGCCGTGATGCGCTCCCTACCTCTCGGCAGTCATACTCGCGAAGTTCAATGACCACGAGCATTCATCCACAACAGCAACCATTACACCCTACCAACCTTCTTGGTGTGGCCGGGGCCCATAGGGCGGCCAACTAGCTTGGGTAGGCGGCGGTACAGAGGCTGTTGCCCTCCCTCGAAACCTGCCCGCACTCCAGGGCCGGAGCGAGACTTCTGCCCTCGCATACCGAAACCACATGATGCCCCCTGTCCGGCGGAGATACCGCGACCCTTACGCTTGTGGCGTTGGCGCGAGCCCGGTGCAGGCTTGAGGGTGTCCACAGCGACCCTGTCAAGAACTGGCGCGGTGAAACAGCCCAACGGAAACAACAGGAGGTCATTTGGTTCAATAGGCGCATACATGTTCCATAGTTCACATGTCCACCGAATAGAACAGGAAAATGTTTTGTCTCCGAAGCTACTTCTATAATATTGGGTGCCTACCACACACCACTGCTGTTTGCGTAGGTTGACTCACAAACTTGGTCCAACTTCAGCTTGACTGTTACAAATCTGCTCCACATTGATGTGTCGCTTCAGTCAAATCTGTTGTTGTAACACCACCTGGTACGCGGCAAGAGCGGAATTTCCGACTAGGGAGCAGCACGGGATGGTCGATGGACTTGAGGCAAACCTCAAAGTTCATCTTGCAACACCAACCCCTACTGGGAACGGTGTTGCCTGGAACTTCATTTTATGAGCCCCGTGTGCATCGAGACTATTTCGCGAGACACGTACGTCTACAAAAATTTATGTCGAGCGGGTTGATGTATATACATGTATTGCGAAAATGCTTACTATGAACCGTACAAGATATGAAACTGAGGTTCTGTTTACAGCACAAGATAGCGTTAGCTTATTCGATGAAGCCTCATACTCAGAGCTACCCACACAGACGACTTGTGCCTTGGGTCTGTAGGCTAGTCGAGCGAAACCAACTGGGTGTATGTACTGTGTGGAATCGGCATACACAAGTACAACAACCTTGACAAAAAAGGGTCGGTTACTGCCACGCTTTTCCTACGATCGCAAGGCAGACGAGAGCGCTTACCTAGGCCATCCTCGCTTTCTCTTCTTTTCCAGTCGAAGATCTTCATGGTCACACCCGTCGTCGTGCGCGACGGTGCACAAGTCCCCGCTGTCAGTTGCTGACCGGTGAAGGCAGTGGGAGCGAAGAACGCATCTGCTCCGCCGGTGGAAGGGGTTCATGCAATCACACATGTGGTGTGTTTGTGAGTCACCCGCTGCCGCACACGCCCTCGTTAAAGCCGCTAGGAGGTTCAAAAAGCACAAAACTTAACAACATCGCACTGAATGCCCATCTCTCACGGAGTTGAACAAAACTGCAATCGATACGATCGGTGGAGGTGAGACGTAAGAGGGTGAGGCAGAGACGACATGCGTCTCCAAGGTTGTCGGGTGGTCCTGCACGTCAAGCTCAATCAGCGAGCTGACGCTCCCAAGCGGTAACAAAAAAGTCACGCATGTACTCACTCGCTGCCCCCACGCAAAAGAGTGCCGTGGTCGCAAGAGTAGCCTTCATGCTGTGGAGTTCTCGACACGGCCTCTCCTGTCGCCTCGGTGTTACGTGTGTCTCTTTGCGCAGGTGACACACATGATGGGAGGAGCGCGAGCGAGGGGCACCGCGCCGCACAACTCCCAGCAAGCAACAGTGGGGAGACTATATATCACGGAGCCCCCGCAATGTCGCCGTTTGGTCATTTGTGTTTGTGTCAGGGGTCACCTCTGGCTTCGCTCGAGAGAGGATCCACCACAGGACCAGCAATGGAGTCGCTTGGATCACTTACCTATCGAGAACTGCAGGCGTTCGCCAAGCGTCATGGTGTGAAAGCGAACGGAAGTAGGGTGGATCTGATACAAAGACTGGTGAGAGATATTGTAGGGGACGCAGATTTGGTTGTCTGTCCGATCAGGCCTAGTATTGTACGAAGCTCGATCCGCGGGCTCGTGCATGTGTTGCGTGCATGCTTTACCTCACTACTTTCAATTAACGGAGTGAGGTTTGTCCTAGCGCTAAGTAATACCTGATGTTTTGAGTAGTCAAAAAACCCCGACTGCTTTTCATTTATATGCCCGGCTTCGCGCTTTAGTGCGACACACACGGAGGTGACGACGACACGCCGGTTGAAGATAACACCCAACCCGGCAGCGATGATAGACCCGACACGGACAACGACACGCCAGTTGAAGACACCACCCAGCCCGGAAGCGATGGAACAACTCTAGGCGTGTCCGACACGGACGCCGACAATCTAGTCACCCGTGACAGACCTCATGGCGCATTTGTCCAGTCTCAAAATGACTCCGACCTCGACAAGTCCCAACAAGGGAAGAGCGACTCGCAGGCTCTTGTCACAGACACGCCTGCCGAGCCGCAACCACGCGCTGTGGGAGATGTGGCGGAGAGGTGCAAGAGTGGAAACTATGCCACCATCAAGGTGGGAACACACACACACAAACAATCGCGTTGCGGCGAGAAATTTAAGCAGATGACCTACAATACCTGCGTGTGAGGCTCGGGCAACGCCCAACGCGATGTTTTTCTCGCTACACCAAGATTGTGTGCAGTGTATCTCTATGTATCTACATATCTGACCAGTGCTGCTGTCCCGGCAATCTTCCTCGTGCAACGGACGGTTACGGTGTACCAAGCGCT